AGCAGGAGCAGTAGCAGGAGCAGTGGTGCCCGTAGAAGAGTAGAATAGTGGTGTGGGAGCAGCAGCAGCAGCAGTAGTGGCAGTAAACAAATCAGCGGCAGGTCCTCGTCGTCCTGTGATGATGGCGGTTATGGCTATGATGATGACAGTGATGACCGTAGTAGCGGCAATACGTGCTTGCCCATGTGTGGGCGCCCTCGGCCGTCAGAGTGTGTTGAATATGAAGCCAGCTGAGGGTTACTGTACTGTTGGCTTTGGAGTTTTGCCAAAACTTTGCACAGGCTTTGCGGATGACGATGAGCAGACATGCATCCGGCCAAGCAGCTGAAATGTGCCAAGCGCTCCATGTAGGCGATGCTGTCATCAGCGGTGCGGTTAAACCTCGCTTCTTCTGAACCCTCCACAAGGCCTCATACCACCTGGCCTTCTGCTCTTATGGCTGGACCAACTTCTGCCTGCTCCCATGTCCGATGACGGACTTCAATTTCAGGCTCATGGGCCCGCCAGAATCAAAGCTCGGAAGAAGAAACGAGAGACACAGAATGACCGAGGGACCCAAGCAGTGCAGGGAACCCGTTGGCTGGATATTACTCACCCGGACGTGCTGAATCCGGAGGGCACAGAAGTCCAGGGTCTTGGGGGGGACTTCCGGAATCGAGCAGTCCTTCGCAAACATGAACCGAATCTTTGAGGCATCAGTGCGTGAAAGTCAATACGTCAGCGTTGCCATGGCAGCCAAATCACTCTTGACGGAACTGCTTGTACGCGGCCTCATCAGCATCCTGTGGCAACCGAACTCAGCCTTACCCTTTGCCTGATGTTTAGTATCTTCACTACATCGGTATGAATCTACGGTCTATCGCTATAGTGATGACTCTCTCCATCAAAGTGCAAAGGCAAAAAACAAAACCTAGGTTGGTTGACAGCATAGTGACGGTCAAGAGTCAAGAGCCGAAAGCCGCATGCAACTAAGACTTGCGAGCCGCTAGCCGGCTCTCATGCCACACCACTATACTACATGTACTGCTGCTGCATACTACTACTACTACTACTACTACTACTACTACTACTACTATTACTACTACTACCACTACTACGACGACTACAACTACTGCCATTGAAACTGCCACTGCCGCTGCTACTGCTACTGCTACCGCCACTCCTGCTACTACTACTACTACTACTACTACTACTACTACTTCTACTAGTAATAATCATAATAATAATCTTGCTGCTGCTGCTGCTCCTACTACTACTACTGCTACTACGACGACGACGACCATGACACTAAGTGCCCTCTTCGTGCTGCCGCCGGTGCCAATTCTTTCTTCACCTGTGCCTGCTCCAACTTATTGCTGTAACAGTGTTTTTGTGACTAATAATAAGGCACAGTACATATTCCTGCAAAGCGCCGTGGCAACAGCTGTTGAGTTGGCATGGGCTTTCGAGACTGACAACATGCCTGCCAGAACATGTGTCAGCAGTGTGACCGCCGAAGGGCGGAGTCCGGTTTCTCTCATACCACTCGAAGCCCGTCCACCCTGAATCACGATCAAGGGCATGAGACCCAGCCTTACAACTCCATCCTGAACTCTCCCAAACCCTTGCTTCGCCTCCTCGGACGTGTATTTCTCTCGCTCCCCGCGCAGAGAGGCCGCGCAAGCCAAGAAGGCCAGAATCCTGTCAGCAGCTTCTCACCGAGCAATTTCATCAGACCGTCGAACGAACATCAACCAGACGGCGCTTTCTGAACCTTGCAGGGTAAATGCCGCATGCATTTCTGTTTGGAGGCTCTATACAAGAACCTATGTCTTTCCTGCGTGCAGGCACGTTCGGCTTAAGGCGTGTAGCATCGGATTCCGATGCTGGGATGTCGAATCACTTTGCCTCCCTGTGCTATGCCTTGGCCCTGGCCGCCTGAGAAGTAGTAGTACTAGTCGTCGTCGTCGTCGTAGTAGTAGTAGTAGTAGTAGTAGCAGTAGTAGTAGCAGTAGCAGTAGTAGCAGTAGTAGTAGTAGTAGGAGTAGTAGTAGGTAGTAGGTAGTAGGTAGTAGGCAGTAGGCAGCAGGTAGCAGGCAGGAGGTAGTAGGGAGTAGGTAGTAGGTAGTAGGTAGAAGTAGTAGTAGTAGTAGTAGTAGTAGTAGTAGCAGCAGTAGCAGGAGTAGTAGCAGTAGTCGTAGTAGTAGTAGTAGTAGCAGCAGCAGCAGCAGCAGCAGCAGCATTAGTACTAGTACTAGTACTTTTTTTTTTTGCATCCGTACTGA